CCCATGGACTCACGTGATTGCGCCAAGAATTCCTGGGTGATTGGATCACTGATGCTTACTATGCTCCTTCTTTTGTCATTTTGAAGATCATTTTAGATTTTTCTGTGTATACTTTCAAAACGAGGAACTAAATGGAGCTTAAAATAGCGTTGGTCCTGGAAGCAAGTACAGGGGGACGTGCACAGACAGTGAGCTGGATTGTAGGCGTCCATACCAGGCATCGTGGGTTTCTAACATCAGCGTGTATGTGGCTGTGAGCGTGCGTGAGTGTGTGTTACAAAGAGCGTGTGCTCGGGTTTTGGGGCGTGGGTGGTCATGCTTCAGGGTGCTCGATCACGCCTGTTTCCTGAGAAGGGCTGGCAGGTCCAGCTGAGGGGAGACCGAAGCAGTCGAGTCACCTGTTATTCCTTCCCCCTGTAGTTGTGTGTCCTCAGGTGACCCTTGGGCTTAAGAGCCCAGCACCCTTGAGTACTCTAAAGCAGAGGGCACCAACCTGTGTGACCACGCACCGTTGTCCAAAGAAGACCGTGTGCAGACTGTCCCCAAGGTATGTGTATTTCGTCATCGTGACACATTTCCTGTTACATCGACCAGTGTGCATGAACAAAGACATACATATATGCATTTATGAAGGAAAGAAGTTTTGCATCAGAAAACATAGAATTTGAAGTCAATACTGAACGAGCTAAAGTGTAGAAAGGAGTCATGACACTTATTTGGATGAAGTGTAGAGAAAACTAGGACATATGAACAAAGCACTTGGGGTGGAAAGGTAGGAAGAGGGGGACAGATAGAACGATTGCATGTTCGGCAGAACACATTTCTGTACTGTGGGAAATTCCATGAGAGTTTGGAAATATCAGGAAAAGTTTGGCGCAAAGAGATTCATGACAATGATGTAGGAAAATGGGCATTCGCTAGGAAATGTGTGCAGTTATGCTCTCGTGTTAGCAACTGCAGTGGAACACAGTAGTGCTCGCACGTGCACAGGGATGCATAGGTAATGCGCTGGAAGCACGTGCACCACCGTCTTCGGAGTGAGCATCTGTAAGGTGCCGCCCCCTCTGCACAGCCTTCTACGCATGTCATGTTCTCTGCAAGCTCATTCACTGTGCTTTGAGAATCAGAAAAACACAATCACATGAAAAAACCCATTTTTGTTACACACACACAGATGATCACAAACACACGACTAATGTTAAATCCATGTGTCCAAGGCAGATGCGATCCCAAGAGCAGTAGCTCCCTCTGTTCTGAAGCGGGAAGAGACTAGCATACGCCAAGCAGCATACCGTGGAAACACTGTGGAATGCAAAAGGAGGAAAATAAACATGACATCTACATTACAGATGTGATTCAGATATCAGCTCTGTTTCAAAAAGCCGTGCATCCTGGAGTTGGGGAAGGGAACGCGATCATTCGATCCCCACTTCATTGACTTACGTTGCTTCCTCTTATGAATTTTCCAGGTTATCATGAGAGGTCCGTAGGTCCTGGGTATCTGCACTAGGTGCCATCTGATCCCTGAAGAACAGTGCCCTTCAGAGGCAGGCAGCGGGGTAAAGGGTGTGCGGACAAGCGGTTGCAGTGTGAGAACCAGCACATCCAGCTCACAGAACCGGACCTGCCTCCACCCACGTGACATTGGGTAAGACTTCCCCATTCACTTGCAGCCATCTCATGTTGACATTTTGGGGTGCAATCACCTTTGCACCTCACTCTACACACACGTGTCTTCATAACGAGCATCGCAGCTTTGGGGTTGGGAGACAAGAGTTTTGCACCACAGTATAGAGGTGCAGGTCGCAGCCAATGACCAGTGCCTGCAGCAATCCCTACTAACGGTGACAGCCAGGAATCATCGTGATGACCTCACAGACCTCTGGATTCTAAGCTCATGCTCTTGAACATGACATTGGGCTGGCTCCCGGTATTGGTATGTAGGAGATGGCCTCAGACTTCCTGGGGCAGACAGGGCAGCATCGGCACCCTAGGAAGGCGAGAAACGAATGAAGCATTCTCCTAGGCTGAAACCCGAGCATCCCAGAAGGCACAGAGTGTCCGAGACAGCAATGGGGTCCCTGACACGACCCCCACGTCCCCATGCGGATGCTCTTCCACATGCAGTCATTATAATCAGGGCAGCAGGGTGGCTTCGGGGTGTTATGAAACTCCTCCTGCACCTTCTGCATTTCTCCCCAAATGCTTGCCATTCGTCTTCCCCTGTGTCTAAGGCCTGCTTTTTATAATACCTTGTTTTACCTCATCAATTCCTTGAGCGGGGCGCTTCCAGTTTCACAGAAGGAATTCTTCCCTGATACGCGTCTTCTTTGCCTTTTCCCTGTCCCAGTCTCCTGCAGTTCTGTCCGCTGACAACACGAGTGCAAGCGTCCCAGGGAGAGCCAGGTGGAGGAGGACAGCGCACGCCGGCTGGGAACGCTTTGCAGTCCAGGGGCACAGGAGGCCTCGTAGAGCAGGTAGTTGGGGAAGACCTGACGCAGCAGTGGCAATGACAGCCAGACACCTCCGCCTGTCTTCATCACCTCTCGGTAGATGAAAGAGTTAAAATGAAAAGCACAGACATAACGGCCCTAACAACGCCTGAAATGGAAGCCGTGATCTCCTCGGCAGGGGCGCAGTGCAAGGTCGGTGCCCGGTGCAAGGTCGGTGCCCAGTGCAAGGTCGGTGCCCCAGCGGGAGAAGAATTGGGGTGCAGAAGAGCCCTGAAAGTGGTGCTGGAGAAGCTGGATGAGAGAACAAAAC